ACAAAAGAAGGATCCACTGGGAGTATCAACAAGAAATGGCTGATCTAAGAACATTGGGGTGGCTTAGTCGCAGTCACACTGGGATCCCGACATGGGAGCCTTAGGAAAGGAACAGTGAGTGCGTGTATATGTGTTTATTATGGTGGAGGATTGGGATGGGGACAGGAAAAAGGTCGTGTGGGGGATGCTACTGCAGAGGTGTCGTTTGCGGTGGGCTCCGATCTGGGCTACAAAATGGCTATAAGGAATATAGTGGGGAGCACAGTAAGGACAAGCGACTCGCTTCCCTAAAAGCCCATGGGACAAAGCGTAGCATTCAGTAGTCAGCCCGTCGTGCTGCAGCGGCAGCGGCAGCAGCAGCAAAAGCAGAGGGGAGAGAGAGAGAGAGAGAGAGAGACAGGAAGAGATCTCTATAGTTTATTACTGATGTAAGGGATAATGGTGGCAACGAGTGCCTTAAAGAGGTGCGCTGCTCGTGAGTGGAACACGAGACACGCAGCGTCCTCAGTTCGATGTGTGGACTGTAGCCTGATCACCGTACATGACCAAAATAAATATCGTTCTGATGCAGAGGAGGAGGCTTGAAGAGGATTTCATGGCGATTTATGACCGCTTCGGCAACGAAGAAGCTCGCTCACACCTTCATCACATGAGGAAGACATGTAGTCATTTGCTCCTTCGTCCAAAGTAAGAGCATCGTGCTTGCAGAACAATCACATCAAGTTCACAGCCTCGTTTGCTGAGCCTAATGGGGGAAGAACAGCATCGTGTGGTTTCTCTGAGCTTCTCTTTTGTCTTTGCAGCGTTACCTGAAGCCGATCTAATAGGTAGCGAGGTGTCAGGCTAGAGTTCATGAAAGCAACCAAGGTGGAGGCATGATGTGATCGGCACAGGGGAAGACATGTATGTAAAGAGAGCATTATAGGGCAACCGGAAGTTGCTTGCTGCAGTGGCGTGAGCAGGATGAAGGTCATATCAACCCCATTTCTAAGACAACTACGTCGGATGAGGTGCCGAAAAGGGCAAGAGTGATACGAAGGATCCAAAAGAAACAATCACCACCAAGGCAAAGAAGATAAAGACAGTGGTGATGCGAAAGGCAACAGCCAGCCAAATGACAGCAGAAAGACCCTCAAGAAACATACTAGTCCTGGAGAGGAAATGGTGGACGCCTAAGAAAGGTTGTTTGTGATGATGACGATGATGGCTGATGACGAGATGAGACGAGACCCACGAGATCTCCATGCTCCCACGCAAGGCGGATGGAGTTTCACGTTTGCAGCGAGGCGTGGGGAAAAGGACAGCTACAGGACTGCAGGGGCAATCATGAGATGTTATCTCTGTGGATTTGTGGTGAGAGAGAGCACAAGTGTAAGAGGGAAGAGAAAGAGTAGGACTGAGGGGAGAGAGAGAGCGAGAGAGGGGGGCATGAACAACCTTTTGCTTCACACTTTACTTGCAGGCTGCCTTGCCTCCCTACCGTTCAAACAAGAAAGAGAAAAGGAGAAGCCTATTTCTCTCCCACCTCCCTCTTTATTCTTCTGAACCACCCAACACCAACAGAGCCACAGAGAGAGAGAGAGAGAGGTGCAGTGGCTTTTAATGCCCGCCGTCTGTGGGTATCATTCATTACCAAACATCGGCATGCTTGGAGGTATGGCTATGTGATAATGACTACCGCTATTCTCCAAGAACAGAGACCTAATCACCGCTGGGAATTGCAAGCTTAGGCAGCCAAAGAAGCAAGAAAACTAAGAAAACACACACCACTTGCTCTGCAGAACAGAGCAAATGGGATGGCGAAGGAAGGAGGAGAGAGAAGAAGCAAACCTGCTGGCTGCGACCGGATCTCTCACCCTCCACTGCTGCTGCTGCGACTGCGACTGCGACTGCGACTGCACCACCGATAAAGAAAGGGCGAGGTCTTTTGAGGTGGGAGCGTGCGATTGCAAGAAGCAACCTCCTCCTTGGTCGCGTATTTTTATAAGCTCGCCTCCACGCTTGCCGACTCGCGCGGTGGGATTATAATAAGGCACACCCCATCCGTCGCCAAAAGCAAGAAGGGCTTTCCGATCTCCTTTCTCGACACAGGTACGTGCTCTTTTGCTGGTGCGCGCCTTCCTTCCTTCCTCCCCCCTCTGTCCGTGGCCCTCTGGTGCGTCGTCTAGGGTTGAGAGCTAGACAAAGAACCAAGGCGAGGAAGATATGGGGGCGTCCATACCGACGCAGCGATTGCAGAGAATGTGCGTGGGACGGAGGAGCGAAGACCGCTCGGGAAGCATGCGCGATGAGGGAGACGAAGAGCAGTGTAGGTCATAAAGTGCGCGTCTTTGCTTTTGTAAGCATACCAAAGCTATGACCATACGTTACCATAGCATGCGCGATGAGTTGATGTAAATATACTTTTATGTCTCGAAAAATTATATGTATCCTTTTATAAATGTAAATATACTTTTATACTCCTTTTTATGTCTCCGATACGGAAAGAAAGTAATATTATTTTAGACGTAAGCAAAGAGTTCTAACGAGAAACGGTGGATTAACTTTTGTACTACATTTCTTTGTCCCCAACGGATGCAAGTAAAATGTTCTCAAAAAAGGGTAAAAAAAACCCTCCTATTTTCACTTTTTTACATTAACATCTTCTTTTCATTTTATTATCATATTATTTTTATTTTTTTTTTTAAATAAAATTATCCTTTGCCTTTCAACCATAATCGTCATCGTCTTCGCTCATATACGCTCACACTTGCTTGTTTCACATCTCCTTTTCAATTACGTATTCTCTTTCGTTGAATCTTAGGATCGCTATCAATAGACCAAAGTAAGAGGGGAGGCGAGACGAGGATGACGACAAGAGGCAGGATGATTATGGCAATAAAATAAAAATATATAAAAAGAAAAAGAAAAAGAAAGGACGAAAGAAAAAGGAATAAGAGATGAGGGTACATGATCTTCATAATGGAACAAAGACGATAACGAACAAAGACGACAACGAAGGTAGAAGCACTACGATGAATTGACAAGACGAGGATAAAAAATAAACCAAAAAAGATGACACCAATCGAAAAAAAAAGGACTTTTTTTTAAGAATTTACCATAAGTTCTTTTAATTTATTAATAAAAATATCATGATTTAAATTTTATTAAAAAAATCATAATTTAGGAATGTACTACTTTGTCAAGTTAGTAATATCACCATATTTTAGACAATTTTATTAATTATTTTTACAATATTTTAAAGCTGAGTGTTTATATAAATATAAAGAACAGTAAATTTGAATTTTATATAAATTAAAGAATTGGGAAGGATGCACATAAAAACAAAAGATTTTGGGGATTAATATATGAAAAGCCAAAATAAAAGAGTTTAGAATTGAAGATCTGAATGTGGATACTAATTGGGTACTAATATTTTTTTTATTTCATTTGCTTAATATAAATAAATACAACGAATTTAAGATGAGCACAGACATGATAATTAAAACTAATACGATGCATCGAGATAATATGTTCCTCTGACCCCTGTAAAAGTATAATTTTATAGTAATTAAAAAGAAATTAAAGTTGCAAGCTTTTTCTCTCTCTACTTTCCTTAAAAAGAAGAAGACAAAAAGGTTCCTATGCAGCGGCAAATAGAAGAACTCATCCTATCCTTGTTCGACAAATATGGGTGACAAGTTTGACATATCCTACATGAAATGAGGCGCAATGAAGAAAGATATGAACATGTTGGGATGAAGAGAGAGAGTCGCAAGTCAGAGAGGGAGGTGACCATGCCACCACTATCTGAGTGAGGATCCACCACTGCAAAAGAATGAGAAAGGAAAAGCTGTTCATGGTCAGTGGTGTCAGTCCACACAAAAGGGGGTTAAAGTGGTCTTGCTGCGTGTTTCTTCAATAACACAAGCATCTCATCTCCTCCACTAAAGCACTTGACCCCTCCTTTAGGGGCAGGAAAATGGAGTGCTGCTTTGACCGCTCTTCTCATGGCCAGTTGCTTTTATCATGCATGCATTTCTTGGGGGCTCCTTTATATACATGACCGGCAGCTTTGGCAAAAGCCGAGCACACAACTGTTTGAGTGCGTCGCCAACGCTGCTGCAGTTCCTCATTCATGGCCGGCCTGCCTGCCTGTCACGCCACGCCCTCAGTCGCCTCCACGTGATCCCATGCTTCCAAGCTTTCTCCACCGAGTGAGTGCCCCTCGGCAAGGGAATGTTGCCTTCGCCCTTTTATTTGGGTCTGTCAAATCAAAGGGATGCAGCTGGAGTCCTCGCCTTCCTTTCGTGTATTGGGAGGAGACTATGGTGGACATGTAAAGGTGATGAATCAGCCTTCTGGTGCAGTGCTGCTGCATGCTTTGGGGTCTGCTCAAGCCTCTGATGGTCTGTTCGGTCACCAGCTTGTCCCCAACGAGGAAGTGGAAGGAAGGGGGTGCAGACATGATTGCCTGAGGAGCCCCCCCTCTTGAAGCCCAACCTCCCTACCACACTGCACAAAACATTCAAGCGCGAGGTAAGAGTTGTTTTTTTTTTGGCTTATAGACAAGAAAGATCAGCAATGCAACTCCTAATGCATTGATTGTGTTGCTTCAGATTATGGCACATATGGCAAAAGGATATTGTTGCCTGCACCAGACCTTTCAAAGAGGCCATGAGTACTCCTCAAGAAATGGGTAACTTTTGTCAACAAAAGTTCAGCAGCAGATAATTGTTGTTTCATCTGACACAAACTTTAAGTTTTGTCGTAGTTCCATTAAAGTTCATATGATCTCATTCTTCCCTTGAGTTGGCTTATCAAGGTCCAATTGCAAGGATACATGATCTCAGTCCAAATCTAAGCTGATCTGATATGAGTGCTGATTACTGAGATGAGCACTTTTCTCATTGCTTTAGGACGAGATGAACACTTTTAAGTAGCAAGGTATTGTGAAAATGTGTAACCTGTCAGAGCTCACTATCAGCTGGCAGAAATTTATATTTCAGATGTGATCTCAAACCTTGTGCCACATGACTCACATAGGATGCAGGATTCTCCTCTTCCAACCAAAATGATGTCATTTGGACTGATGTTTTGATGTCCTGCACAGCCAAGCACGAGGAAGAATCAGTACTCTATCATACTGCAGGGATTGTGCTACTTGTAAGCATGCACAAGAATCAGTACCAAGGATTCATCAATGACTAGCCATGTCTAAATAGGTCAAGGGCTGGTTGAAAGCTATGCATATGCTGCAGGATGTCACAAGAGAGACCACTATTTGGATCGGAAATTTATGGAAACACTTTTGACTATTGTCAATTGTCACTTCACCAAAAAAGTTCAAGTGTTTGGGCCATATATATGTGTTCTAGAAATATTTATTCAAAATGTGTAATTGTGTTAACAAGTATTTCTCACAAAAATGCAGTTACTGTTACTTTCACCATATATTTATCTGTATGTGTTATGTAAAAGCAGAAAAATATAAAAATATCTAATCTAAAAATGATTCTATCATTGCTCTTCAAAACAATTTTTTTCTTGCCAACATGCCTTCTGTTTAGTTTCAGCAGTTCAATATTAAAAGAGCTCTGTTACCAAGTCAAAAGATCAGAGTATCCTTCTATACCAATCCTTACATAGTTATGTATAAGAGTTGATATTTGGAAGTCATTAGTTTTGTTGGGTGTGAAAACCTAAATTTAAGAGAGTTTTTTTCTAAGATTATAAAGGATATCTCAATTCTCAGCCACTTATCATGTCAGACTCAACTTGATCATAGATTAATCATGGTTTGGTTGCTCTTAGGTAATGATCTGTAATATACATTGCCACATGTGTAGCGTGTGATTATGAACACAAAAAAATTGTGATTCAAAACCTGATCAGTGACCTGATAAGGATGTAATCCATTTTCTTGTGATCTATACTTCATTTTCCTTAATTATTTTAACAATGGATGCATTCCAGTGTGATCTAACTCTTGTTGTTTTAATAATCCTGATTCAGTGATTTATATGTGAATATTAGAATCATTTACACTCAAAATAAAGCAAAACAAAGAAGTGCAGTCAGGTTCTACTTTTTTTCTTCTATCATGGATGATACCAACAGGTGGCAAAGTGCAGCAGTTTTTACCCTTTCTGTTGACTGGTACATCAATGCATCAAAAAGTGTTACTTTGGAATGCATTAGCTTCTGCAACATAACATTTGGAATCAGAAGCAGAGATATGGCAAGCAGCAAATACAAAAGACACTGGCTTGGTTCAGGATCTCTTTCAGCCTTTCAACTTATCTTTTTCTCATTTATATCTTGTTAATGTGTCATCCAAGAAGAGAATACATGATTCACTTGCACCTGCCGTACTCTGGCAGATGCAATAATTTCTGAAAAGGATGCAGATTCTTGGCTGCACAACACCAAGGATTGCAATCAACATCTATTGTTTTCTTCCTCAACTATGATGTTTTGTGGTGACTGTCCTGTCTATGACCAGGATCAGTCTGTGTCTTATCTGAAGGTAAACATCTTGACTGTTTCTCATTTTTACCTGTGCTTCATGAGCCTGAGAGTGTCAAAACAAGCAGTTGACTGATAGAAGATAGTAGATACATAAATGAGTCACCTTGAATGGAGATGCTGTGTTATTATGCAAAGCGAACATGATTACCATCGAAGTTGTTTTATGAAATTACTGATAGACTGTATAGAAGGGAATGGAGAACATTTGGCAAGTTGAGAAGCCCCACAGATTGAGAATGAACTTGACAAAGAGTTCCACTTTCAGACTGAAAAGATGATGTCCTTGAACTCTAATAGAAAAAGAAGACTTTAAAATTTTCTGCGGCTTAAAAATCCAGAGATAAGAACAAAAAGGTTTGAGAAATACTAGGGAAGATCTTGTCCCAATCTATCAGTATAAGACCTATTAAACTGAGTTTTCGTGAGTTAAAGTCATCATGATAAAGCTGGAATATAAAAGATAAAATCTTCACTCAGTTATTTGGTTAATTTGTTAGGTCGACATACATATTTGCTATAGTAATACTGAATTAAAGATGTTATGAATCTGAAAAATACCTCAGCAATCTTCTTCTTATTAGGGTTCGGTGCAGGGATAGGCCAGGCTTACTTTGGTGAGTGACCCAATGGGTCACACATGGGTCAAGCAAAGATGAGCCTATTGGGCTATTAGGGCATCATTAAGCCTTAACATAAAGGCCCCAATGAGAAGCAGCAGAGCCAATCAATCGACTTACACATGAGAGTAGCAAACGGCTTAAGAATCTTAAATATGCTTAACTATACTTTAACATCAAGATTTTTCCAGCTTAAGAATCTTGTAATGGTAACTCATCCATTGATTTAATTTCCTGGCAGAATTTAGAATCCTTAAAAAGGTCTGACACCTAAACCAAATAAGAGTATACCGGGTACGCGATTTAATTATTTCAGCTTCATTTCTGCCGAAATGATCGTTCTGTACAGTTCAACTTCGGACCAGAGTCCTTGTTATCTTGTCCATAGCTTATTTTTTGGGTGTCAAGTGTTTCTATCAGAATTCTCTTCATTATATGAAAGGAAATTCTAGATGCAGGAATTGTCTTCAACAGCTGTGCACTACAATCTAAAAAGCAAGGCTTGTATATGGAATCTCTTAAACTCTTACCTGGCAGCAAGTTGGAGAAGTCATATTTGACCAAGGTTTTGTCCCTGAAAAATCCCAAAATTCTATCCGATCTGCTTTGTTCTTTTCATGGCACGTTATGGATCGGCTCTTTGCAGCATTTGTGCAGGTTCTAGTTTCATGACCCATGTGAAAAAGGCAGCCGAAACTACATTGGAGAACTTGATTCCAGCTGCAATGTTGACAATGCATCAAAAATCAGTCATCACAAAAAAAACTCTGTATAAGAATTTACATATATTCTCTACTGGGTTTCTTACTGGTAGAAGTCACAAAATAAACAATGCGGAGCGGATTGCTCTCCTATGCTTGAGCCTTTCAATCTATATATATATCTACAGAACAACCCTCCATTCTAGAACCAAGAAAGGTCATGTAGACAGATGATTTGAGTTGTAAGCTTCCTGCAGATGTGAGGGCTGAAGATGTTGCATACTCTACGGGCAAAATGTATCACAATGTGTTGTTCAAGCCTAAGAACCTGTCCACCTTTTATTGTTGCTCACACAGTTGAATGATTCCGGTCTAGTTTCTTTTTTTTTTTTTTTTTTGTGCCTGATACGAAATCTCTAGAACTCCGAAAGCAACCTACATGATCTCGGTCAGTCTCTCGTACACAAGAAAAAGTTCCATGTACTCAGTAATCAATGCAGATCCATAACTTGATGCACCACCGGAGATGAATCTGATCCATTCCAATCATTTCCGTTTTTCAGATCAACCTCCCACGGCAAATGCTTTAAGTACTTCTTAACTCAAATACTTTAGCCCCTTCACAAGTAATCAGACTTAGAACTTGTTAGTGAAGGGAAGTTATTCACTTGCTTCCTCTTTGGATGATTAACAGTACATCAGGATAGTCTAAATGCTTCAAGAACTTGTACTTGTGCCCAGGTTCACCTATCTGAAGAAAAACTGAAGTGTAATTTACATACTATAAGCAATTAGCAATTTTCTTCTAGTGTTTCCATAATCAAGATAAACCTGTCGAACATGACCTGGGGCTATGAATAACTATCATATTAACATAATGCACTGAACTATTGATCTCAAATTTCAAGATCAAATTAAATGTAGTGTACCTATCTAACACTTGTTGTGATACTCAAGCCTCTTTCTAGGTCACTGGTGAATCCATGCCATGATGCATATTTACAAGTAATCCTTTCCTATTCGGATGAGCCTAAACCACTGTTTTGAAATGTCTAAGTGCAATTTAATGATAGCACATTTATTTAGTCCCTCTTTACAGAGACTCAAAGTCTTCTCCTACATCCACTGTCAGTGATCCTAAACTGAGGTAATAGAATTGCTTGGATCTCCATATATAAGTTTGTCATCATAATAAAGAAAACCACCATTGATACTCTGAGAAGAATGGGCTAATGCAAAAAGACAGAACAATAACATGTGAGGAGACAACATGGAAAAAAGAAGAAAATGTAATTTTGACTTCTAACCTAACTTGCAAGCAAGCATATAACATTTCAACCCCTAAATCCATATATATATATATATATATATATATATATATATATATATATATATATATAT